CATGCATGAAGCATGGTTGCAAGTTGAGAGAGGTTCGGAGCTCGTATCAGCTTATTACACGGGACTTGATAACCGCAGTACAATAATCGGGTCTACGATAGCGAAATCCGGGTGTTGGTCACAGCTTAAAGGAGGGTTTACACCTAATGAGGATGTTCAAGCTGCACTGCATTTTTCAGTAATTAAATTAATTTGATCTAGATGATTTATTTCACTTCATATTTTCAAGTTATAAATTGTTGTTGTTATTATTATTATTATTATTATTATTATTATTATTTGGGATGATGCAGACCAATAACACTGATGCTGAACTTTGGGTTGATAGTGTTTCTCTTAAGCCATTCACCAATTTGGAATGGCAAGCTCATCAGAACAAAACCATTGATCAGGTATTTCAGCTAGTTAATATTCATCAAATCCTTTCAGTTTTCAAATTACAATTATCTAGTTTGAATTTGACTTTAAAAGCAATATATATATATATATATTGGTACTCAAAATTCAATTGTTTTCCCGAAGAGTTATAATAGTATGTATTTGGATATCTTTGTAATTAATTGTATTTGACAATTTCTGAATTTACAAACGCCAATTGTGAAGATTTAGATATGCATTCTAATAAAAAAAAAAAATTATAGAAAAAGTATTATTTTTCAAATAATCTAACCATACATCTCGACTATCAGAGTTCTGGATTATTAGCTAATTGATAATTAACATATAGAAACTTCATTAATGGATTGCTGGTTATCCAGAGTTCCAATTCAGGATTAGAAGGCACCATTGATTATTCGTTTCTATTTCAAGTGTACTTTTGGTAAAATACAATAAGAAGATCTTTTAGTCAACTATAGGTCAACCAACTAAAAGTATCATACGTGATCAGCGCACAAAACTGCCTACACTAACGTCGATTACATTAGAATTTTGGGTATATATATTAAAAAAATAAAAAATAAAAAAATAAAAAAATAAAATGAGTATAAATCATACTACCAAGACGGAAATTTTCATTTTAATATATATATATATATATATGGCAACTTCTTGTTTCAAACCACCTGTTAAGAAAAAAATGTTCCGTCAAACAAAGAAAAAAATACAACTTTTTTTTGTCAATTTGTCAATATTTTGATTTTACTTTCAATTTTTTTTTCTAGGTTATCAAATATTTAGGATTTTTTAAATTTTTGTTAATTTTTTATGTCAAATTTCCGCAAACTGCCAGTTTCGGAAGAGAACAATTCGGATCCACGTGTCGACCCGGGAGGGCAAGAAGCTCGGTGGCGGGAAGGTGTCCATCCGTCAGACCCGACCCAAATTCGTGATTGGGTCGGGCACACCAGAGTCTATCCTAACCCACAAGGAGTACCAAGACTACTTTATCCGCCGCTTCACGGCGGCCACCTTCCACAACGAGATGAAGTGGTACTTCACGGAGACCTACCCGGACGTCGAGAACTACACAGTCCCCGACGCCATGACAAGCTTCTTCCGGGCCCACCGCATCCCGATCCGCGGCCACACCATCCTATGGGCAAGCACCAACTTGACCCAGTACTGGGTCAAGCGCCTCTCCCCGCCGGACATCCTCAAAGCCGCCGTCCGCCGAGTAGGCTCGGTGGTGTCTCGCTACTCCCCGGACGTGATCGGGTGGGACGTGATGAACGAGAACCTCCACAACTCATTCTACGAGGAGAACCTCGGCCCCAACGCCTCCGCCATGTTCTACCAGATTGTTCACGCGCTCGACCTCGGCAAACCCCTATTCCTCAACGAGTACAACACAATCGAGCTACCAGCCGACTTCGACGTCATCCCCGCCAAGTACAAGTTTACTTTTGGTGTTTGTAAGGCAAAATTGCATATTAATACACCACCTTTCATGTTTTTTCAATTTAATCACCACCTTTGAAATTTTGTAAATTAATACACCACCTTTACCATTTTTGCAAATCAATAAGTGAATGACGGTTCCGTTAACAAGAATCTAAAGAAATCTGACATAGCATTAAGCCACATCAATGCCCTATCAGATTTTTGTTAACGGAATCGTCATTCATGTATCAGTTTGCAAAAATTGTAATGGTGGTGTATTAATTTGCAAAAATTCAAAAGTGGTGATTAAATTGCAAAAACATGAAAGGTGGTGCATTAATATACAATTTTGCCGTGTTTGTAATCTTATATGTCAAATTTTTTTTTGTTAAAATAATTTGTTAATTAGGTATGTGGACAAGATTCGGGAGACAAAGGCATTCCCCGGCAATGAGCAGATGAAGGTGTACGTGGGGCTGCAGGGCCACTTCTTCCGGCGGCCCATGGTCTCGTACATACGGGCAGTGTTGGACACGTTGGGTGCGACAGGGAATCCGATATGGATAACCGAGCTCGACACGCGGCGCGGGCCCACACAGGCTCCCCAACTGGAGGAGGTGATGCGGGAGGCCTACTCCCACCCGGCCGTGGAGGGCATCATCGTGTGGGGCGGGTGGAAGCCAACTGGGTGCAACCAGACGTGTTTGGAGGACACAAACTACTACACGCTCCCGACAGGGTGTTCCGTGATGTGCCTGGTCGACAACAACTTCCGGAACCTTCCGCCGGGGGATGTGGTCGACAAATTGATCGATGAGTGGAAGAGCAATGTGGATGGGGTTACCGATGGGAACGGCGTTTTCCAACAAAGGGTGTTTCTAGGGAGTTATAAGCTTAAGTTCGAGCATCCGGAGGTCAAGGGTACCGTGAAGAGGAGGTTCAACGTCACGGTTGGGGAGAGGGACTTGGAGTTCAAGCTTTGTATTTGAGGGTATTGTGGGTGTAATATGCTATGTTTGTTTGGGAAAAGATCATGATGTTGTCCAGGAGTTTACTGGATGGAAGTTATATATTGAATAAAGACTCAAACAATGAACTGATTTTGCGACGTGGTTTGGTGATTTAATTTATTTCGTTTTTTGTTGTTATTGTGGCCAATTGTGGTAGGGCCGTGTTTGTCCCATTTTTGTTGCTATTTTTGTTAGTATTTTGCATGTTTTTCCCCCGTTTTAGGTCGTTTCTTAGGTGTTATCGGTCCATCTAGTCATTTCTCGTGTTTTGGTGTTATTTAGTTGTGTTTCGTGTTTTCTTTGTTTTTTCTCCTATTTTCTCTTGCTTTTCGTGTTTGTCCAGTTTTAGTGGTTTCAGGTCGTTTCGATTCCCAAGTGTTTCATCCCAGTTCATGCGATCAAACATGCAAAGGTCGAGTTTTCAGCTCGGGCAGTACCCGAGCAACGGTAACCGAGCACGCGAGTCGAAGAAAAAGCAACTTTTGGACCTCCCAGAGCCTTAGCGCCGCTAAGGTTAACCAGGCTAGTGGAGCTACCTTTCTTACCGATGGCTGGCTCGAACAGCTAAGATACCTTAGCGGCGCTAAGGCACCTTAGCGCCGCTAAGGTCTCTTTTACAGCAGGCGCGATTTTCATGGATTTTGAATTGGAGAGACTATTAGATCGAGCTAGGGCTTATCTTTCACTTATTCCAGACTTGTATATTCGTACCTTTGCACTCCATAACTCATTTTTATCTTAGTTTTCATTAGGATTCAATCTTGCATAGTGAAAACTCCAAGATTGGACTTGTGGATTTGGATTGTTCGTTGTTTTTCGACATTGGGTTCACTATTAGTCGTAAGCATTTCTTTTCATTTTGTGTATGGATTTGATGGCTTGCTTAATTATGAATTGTTGTGTTGAAATTGCGATGAGTGGCTAAATTCGTAGCTAGGGTTAGGGGATAATTGTCCAGGTTCGATTTCGTTTTTGTGTACTTTGATTGCTCAATCTAAATGAGTTGTGCTATATGATTGATCACCATCCTAATCTGTTTAATCTATTTTAGAACCGAAAGGGGAGAAATCGATCGATCTTGGCTCGTTTTGAATAGACTTGTTCGGAAACGTATTGTCTATGTGCTAATTGATTCGATAATTAATCGTTTACGTTTATTCTCTTGTTACGTGAGTTATTGAGAATGAATCTCTTGATGAATTATTTTTTCGAGTTCTTTAGCCGAGTGATCAATTGCGTTTAATGTATTGAGAACCAGAAACGATTGTCCCCGACACCCTAGTCCATATTATCATTATTTGAATTGTGCTTTGGGTTGTGAAATTGAAATTGCTTGTTTGAGAATCGTTAGTAGTTAATCTCATAGTTGATAATCGAAACCAACCAATTGAATTAGAGTGTTTAGGATTATTTTCTCTTTTAGTGTGATTGAATATTCGCACAAATAATCCGATTGACCTTCCTTGAGATACGACCCGGTGTTCGAATCTCTCAATTCTACTCTGGTAAAAATAACTACAACAGGCCGTGTAAAGATGGACAACATGTGATGAGCAAATTGTCCTGCACGGGGTTGAACTGTGCTTCAAACAATCAAATTGACTCGCTGCTCTGATGACCAGCAATACGTCAGGAGGGGTCCTAGCGAAAAAGCCTCTGACACTCAAGTTAGTATGCGAATAATGAGAACAAATGTATATCATATGGAAAGAGACCCTTAGTTAATCATTTATACTTCGGGTTACATGGTGGCCAAGAGACCCTTAGTTAAGAAAGAGATATTCTCATATCCTATTTCTTAACTAATCAAATTTCCCGTATCTTGAGTTCCTTATGATATTCACTTTCTATATATCCTCTAAGGATTCTCTCTCGTCCTGCTTGTATATGAATCCTGACCTATGTACCTTTCTACCACGAGTATGTCGCGTGGTCACTCGCCTGACCTCAATCCCACCGACTTACAAATTGTGAGGTCTCTTCTGTCTTCAAGCTCAGAGGTCCCCAACATCTGAGCTGCATGCTTTTCTGATCTTCCAACCTCTAAGTTGTCTAACCCGGTCCTTGAATGACCGAATTAAGCACTAAAATGGAATAAGCTTTCTAAATCGTTTACGATCGAGCTAACACATTTGGTAGGTGAACCGAGTTGCTCTGGGTGTTATATCATCTAGTTCCCTTTATTTGATTTTCGTTCGTCGAAAAATAATTAAACAATGTCTTGTTACTCGCACAGAATGAGAAATATTGATGATGCAGTCCCGTTCTTTGGGAAAGGGTTCAACAGAATCTATCCACTTATTATGGTAATCTATACCATACTGATTGCATCCAATTTTTTCGAGCGAGCTATCAATTACTTTGGAAACTGAAAAATATTTAGATTTTAATGTGAAGAATCGGATAATTTAGATGGGTTTTACTCCTCTGGTCTGATCATTTTGCAGAAAGGTTAGAAAATCTGTGGCTTCCTTTACTGGTGTCAGGTCATGGGTACACATTTTTCTTTTTATGTTTCATTTGGAATAAAAAAATGTGTGTTGATGTTGTGTTCCATCTTTTCTGTTGCCAGAACGATCTTGGCTTCAGGAAGGACTTAAAGTAGGTCAACTTGTTGTCCCTTTGGCAAGAAGTTTCAATTACGCAACCATGGATCTTGAATCTGGGAGTCATCACATGGTGTGTGATATTATTTAAGATTATTTTTATCGACGTATAAGGGTTTCCAATTGAAATGTCATTCTTTTTAATATATTTTTTTATTTTTTTAACTGACGGTATATTTGATAAGGCATAAAAATGATTTTGAATTTGAACAATTACGTATCTGATGTTTTGTGGCATTAGTACTACTTGAGGGTTTGGCATAAAACAAAGAAGAAAGGACATTTGCAAATCATGGGAGAATATGTGATCTCTCTTTAACTGTTGAGTTTTTCCGAAAGTTGATTTATTTATTGATGTTAAATTGTAGAATGAAGTCAATCTCAGAAAGCTCTGGATTTTGAACTATGTGAGAAGGTTGGTGTGGTGGGGCTACCACGAGACTACGAATGATAATGACCCACAAAACTTTCTGAAATTGTTAAGGCCAATTTGGACAAAATTTACTGAATCATTGCATTTTACTGCCTACTATATGATTTTTCACTCTCTCATTCAAAATTTGTATGATTTCTTGCTTACTCATATATTCAGAAACATAATTAAAGACAATATTCTTGTATATCTACTCCCAGTCATGCAAATACTTCTTTAGACTATAATGTTGACAGTAAATGCAGCTATGGAACTTGTACATCAATCATGCTTTTGCACTCAATACCTGCAAAATTGACCGACTTCTTTTATTTTTGTGATCTTAGGTTTTGCAAATAGCACAATCAACAAGACTCGTTAAATAGGAAAGACAGAGTAGCCAAGATGTTACTGTTAGAATATCACTCGTGAGTTGTCCCACATCGTTCATATATAGAAAATAGACCCACCTTATAAGACTAATGAGCTACTCCTCCTTCCACCAATTGGTTTTGGGATGGAACTCCATTTGTGCTTCATATGGGCTTTTTTCCGTTTATGGTGCACTTCGTGATAGTGAACTCGCACCCGTTTTCCACCAGTTTCTGTCAGTTACTATCGCAGCACAATCCACAAATCACAAAATAATGGACTCGAACATGAAAGAAATTGAAAGCCGTGCATTTCCTTCATTAGAATCAAAAAATAGTATGAAACCTTCGTTTTCTAGACTAGCCTCCAAATGATAGTCGATGAAGGTTGGTATTCGCAGTTTCAAGTTGCGTATGGAGGTGAAAAGATTTATTCCCCTTAGACAAGTTCAAGACACCCTACATTCATGTATTTCATCTTCCAAGTCTTTGGATGAGATATTTGAGTGGATTAGTCGGCCTACTGGACGACAATGATAAAATATAATGGCATGGAATTTTGTCTTCAAGCTCAGAGGTCCCCAACATCTGAGCTGCATGCTTTTCTGATCTTCCAACCTCTAAGTTGTCTAACCCGGTCCTTGAATGACCGAATTAAGCACTAAAATGGAATAAGCTTTCTAAATCGTTTACGATCGAGCTAACACATTTGGTAGGTGAACCGAGTTGCTCTGGGTGTTATATCATCTAGTTCCCTTTATTTGATTTTCGTTCGTCGAAAAATAATTAAACAATGTCTTGTTACTCGCACAGAATGAGAAATATTGATGATGCAGTCCCGTTCTTTGGGAAAGGGTTCAACAGAATCTATCCACTTATTATGGTAATCTATACCATACTGATTGCATCCAATTTTTTCGAGCGAGCTATCAATTACTTTGGAAACTGAAAAATATTTAGATTTTAATGTGAAGAATCGGATAATTTAGATGGGTTTTACTCCTCTGGTCTGATCATTTTGCAGAAAGGTTAGAAAATCTGTGGCTTCCTTTACTGGTGTCAGGTCATGGGTACACATTTTTCTTTTTATGTTTCATTTGGAATAAAAAAATGTGTGTTGATGTTGTGTTCCATCTTTTCTGTTGCCAGAACGATCTTGGCTTCAGGAAGGACTTAAAGTAGGTCAACTTGTTGTCCCTTTGGCAAGAAGTTTCAATTACGCAACCATGGATCTTGAATCTGGGAGTCATCACATGGTGTGTGATATTATTTAAGATTATTTTTATCGACGTATAAGGGTTTCCAATTGAAATGTCATTCTTTTTAATATATTTTTTTATTTTTTTAACTGACGGTATATTTGATAAGGCATAAAAATGATTTTGAATTTGAACAATTACGTATCTGATGTTTTGTGGCATTAGTACTACTTGAGGGTTTGGCATAAAACAAAGAAGAAAGGACATTTGCAAATCATGGGAGAATATGTGATCTCTCTTTAACTGTTGAGTTTTTCCGAAAGTTGATTTATTTATTGATGTTAAATTGTAGAATGAAGTCAATCTCAGAAAGCTCTGGATTTTGAACTATGTGAGAAGGTTGGTGTGGTGGGGCTACCACGAGACTACGAATGATAATGACCCACAAAACTTTCTGAAATTGTTAAGGCCAATTTGGACAAAATTTACTGAATCATTGCATTTTACTGCCTACTATATGATTTTTCACTCTCTCATTCAAAATTTGTATGATTTCTTGCTTACTCATATATTCAGAAACATAATTAAAGACAATATTCTTGTATATCTACTCCCAGTCATGCAAATACTTCTTTAGACTATAATGTTGACAGTAAATGCAGCTATGGAACTTGTACATCAATCATGCTTTTGCACTCAATACCTGCAAAATTGACCGACTTCTTTTATTTTTGTGATCTTAGGTTTTGCAAATAGCACAATCAACAAGACTCGTTAAATAGGAAAGACAGAGTAGCCAAGATGTTACTGTTAGAATATCACTCGTGAGTTGTCCCACATCGTTCATATATAGAAAATAGACCCACCTTATAAGACTAATGAGCTACTCCTCCTTCCACCAATTGGTTTTGGGATGGAACTCCATTTGTGCTTCATATGGGCTTTTTTCCGTTTATGGTGCACTTCGTGATAGTGAACTCGCACCCGTTTTCCACCAGTTTCTGTCAGTTACTATCGCAGCACAATCCACAAATCACAAAATAATGGACTCGAACATGAAAGAAATTGAAAGCCGTGCATTTCCTTCATTAGAATCAAAAAATAGTATGAAACCTTCGTTTTCTAGACTAGCCTCCAAATGATAGTCGATGAAGGTTGGTATTCGCAGTTTCAAGTTGCGTATGGAGGTGAAAAGATTTATTCCCCTTAGACAAGTTCAAGACACCCTACATTCATGTATTTCATCTTCCAAGTCTTTGGATGAGATATTTGAGTGGATTAGTCGGCCTACTGGACGACAATGATAAAATATAATGGCATGGAATTTTTCGTGTGATAGTATATGATATAGGTACAGCTACTCTGAAATAGTGTAGAGGATGGAGATAACAAAATGCAGTATATATGAGAAAATAAAATTCATAGTATGAAATTATGGTCGTATGGTGAGTAATTTTAATGCGTGATGAATAGGATGAGAAGGAAGCAATTTTGAATACAATTTTGTTTTGAAGTATGGTGACGGTCAAGGCATGATATTATAGTGTATGAATAATGGGATCTTTTGACAAATCCCATTAGGCCATTACTTGTGAGACTTGGGTAACCAACAAAGTCTACAAGTCAACCTCATGAAAAGTCCAAAAATTACAAATGAGGATTAAGGCTCAACTAATTTTATTTTTGACTAAATAGGTGAACCAGAGTTTTTTTTTTAATAATCAATATTTAACAATATTTATGATAAAAATGTTAACTATATTTTACAATTAACTTAAATGAGATATTAATCCATATAAGATATTTATCCAAAAGTTAAATAAATTTTATTCAAAAATTTTGACAGAGAATTTAAAAATATATGATTTAAACATTAATTTTTATCAAGTAATCTAAATATTAAATAAAGTAATACTTCAATTATTATTTTTTTATATATTATTTCTTATTTTCATTGCATATATTGATTTATTAACTAAAGTAATAATTCAATTATTATTTTTTAAATTCACTTATCAATTTTTGAGAAGAGTCTTTATTAATTGACATTTATTATGTTTTATATAGATTCGGTTATCAATTTTGCATAAATATAATTTATATAGATATATTGATATTTATTGTTTTATATAAGCATGTAAAATATAAATTAAAAAAATAATATTATTGTACAAATAATTATATCCTAAATTAAAGTAAGCTGAACTTTACGTTAAAAAGTCAAACATAAAAGTGAGAGAATAACCTAAAATGTAAAGTTAAAGAATTAAATTCAGACATTCAAGTACAATTAAAAAAATTAGATTAAACATAAAGAATAATATGCAGACATTCAAGTACAATTAAAAAAATAGATCTGAATGGCATTTCTCAAAATATAAATACAACCAGATTTTTAAGTATGAAAAGTGCGGTTTTTACCGTGTCCAATGAATCTCACGATTTTAAATCGCTCATTTCCTCTCTCTCTCTCTCTCTCTCTCTCTCTCTCTCTCTCTCGTAAGCTGGGGAGCGGATCTGCTTCTGTATAATTAGTTATAAAACTTACAATCTTACACCAGTTACGATCTCTGCTTCAGAAATCAGAATTAGAAATCACAAAGGGTTCGTCCCACTCCCGTTCACTTCCGCCGCTCTCGCCCCACCGGCGTCCCTCTCTCGCCGCTCTCGTCGGCGGAGGTTACTCAGGTCTGGTTTCTCCTCCCCGTCTCGCTCTCTTGTCGGAAACAGTTTTTTATTATTAAGTTGCCAGCTGAATGTTCTGTTTGTTATTTCTCTCGGCATTATCTGTGTTGATTTTCGAATCCGCTAGCATATTTTGTTAAAACTTATGGAAATTGTCATGGGCGCTCATTGATATTTGATATGTTACTGGGGCAGGTGTCAATTTTATTTTCTTCTCTTTTGGGGCAAGCGTGCTTGAATTTGTGGTCTTTGAATGCGCCTGTTACAGTTTGCTCCGCTGTTATCTTTAGTTGATTGCACGGATAACCGAAAAACCGATCGGTTTGGTTTTTTCTTCTCTTGCAGTGCGGTTCGGTTTACAAATCTTAGATTTTCGGTTTTCTGGTATTCGGTTTTTCACCGAATGCTCACCCCTAGCTGTTCGTTGTAGTCCATGTTTACGGGCTATGGTTTTCTGAGGTTGGATCTGTAAAGTTGTTATTTAGGGTGATATGGGGTTTCGGTTAATCTGGTTGGTTTGCTGTTTCCTCGAATTGATAGCATTCATGACGGAGAGGATGGGGACTATTTGTTTATCTATTATATATTTTATACGATCATGCGTGTTTGAGAAAATGTTGGTTATGGTTGATGATTTGAATTAATGTCCAATAGATTTGCACCAATTAGCTTGAGTTAGGTTTGCCATATATTTGGATTATGGAAACTATTAGATTTCGGGAGATGTGTCTCCTTACATGTGGGCAAAAACACAATGAAATAGGTAAAATGTTATCGCGATGTAAAGATTAATGAACCAGCAGGTACTTATTGGGTAGTTTCTTGTGGTATGCTGCTTTGGTATGCATCAGTATTAACTTCCAATGAGGAATCTGTATTGCTGTTAGAAGGTTTTAGCTCACTTGTACATCAGCCCTTAACAAGCATTAGAGTTCGTATTATTGGGTAAGGGCAGTTTCTTGTAAATACTGATGTGTTATAGGACTTATTAGCTGTTAGATTAAGTGAACAGTTATGTCTGCTTTTAAGTTTTGTGCTGTTGGGGTCTACACACGTTGCATGCTGGTCGATGTCCAAAAACCTTTTAACTCTAAAAACACCTGCATGAGTAGTCATTATCTGCTTTTATGTTATTGTGTAAGTGTGTGTATAAGCCTTCTCAGGCGAACCTTATCAAATAATATTGTCAGGGTGATGTTTAATGAATTTGACAGAAGGCTTGGATTGGGAGAATTTACATTACAATGGGATATCTAATAATCTTGTTGACTGTAATATGCTTTCCATGTGTTATTGCATAAGTGCACATATGACTGTCCCTTGCCCTTGGTTAGTCTTTTTTACCACTAAGTTTGCAATATCCATATACTGTTATGACATATATGCATATGATACTTATCATGCAAGTGCATTTTTTGTACTAGGAAATAATGCCCCAAAAGTACTGGTCGGAGTAGGGCAAGCTCCAAAGGGATAGAAACAGTTTGTTTTAGTAGAATTCAAAAATGAATTAAAAATTAAAAAACATTTATAAAGTGAACACATTAGATAATGAAAGAGTCTCCTTCAATATTGATATAGAGTGATAGAATCGTGATATGACATAATTAGTTTTCAATTGCCATAAATATAGAAACCTCTAAATGGACAAGAACAATTATTGGCGGTACTATATCTCGTGAAAGAAGAAAAACCTATCAAAACATAATTATAGATGGCCATAGCTTATAAGCTGAAGCAATGTTTATTTTTTTTATGGATTGCTGTAGTGGATTGTTTGTGGTCAGCTACTGAATATTTATTAATTGTTGTTGCCTTCAGCTCACAGCTTGAAGAGCACAAGGACACAAGGAGGCACCTTCAGTGCTTTATAACTTTTGGAAGTATTTGTTACTATTCCTAGTTATCCTGATGGCTTTTGAAACTATAGTAAAGTCTGTTTTGGATTGGGTAACTTTGGCTTTTGATGCGCCATCTGCTCGAGCTATAGTCTTTGGAGTGCCAATCAAAGGCAAGTTATTTATTATTATTATTATTATTTTTTTTTTTTTTTATTTATTTATTTTTTTTTTTCTGTGATGTTTTGATGCATGATATCAACTTTTGTATTAAGCAAAGCGAGTAATTTGTTCAAATCGTTACAGGCCATCTGCTGATAGAGGGTCTTCTCTTTGTTGTGATTCTTTTTCTTCTAACCCAGAAGAGTTACAAGCCGCCTAAAAGACCTCTGACAGAGAAGGTTGGTCTTATGCATTTTAGATGTGATAATGTTTTCTTGAATAAACCTTAAGGCTGTTTATTGCTTAAATTTATAGGAAGTAGATGAGTTATGTGATGAATGGGTCCCAGAACCCCTCATTCCTCCTATCACTGATGAGATGAAGTATGAACCTCCAGTATTGGAAAGGTCAATTTTCTCAAATAGAATACTTTTCTCAAATCTTCTCAACTGTTTTGGAAATTAAATTATTCCTAAATTCCTGTTAAGCTGTGAGTTGCTTCGTGCAGTGCTGCTGGACCTCATACTGTAATCAACGGGAAAGATGTTGTAAACTTCACATGTGCAGACTACCTTGGTCTTCTGGGGAATGAGAAGCTACAGGTGAGAAGAATTTACTTCTTATATCTCATCTTCATCTCTAGATTGGTTCCAATTTTTCCAACTGATATTGTTGTTTAAATAGGATTCATGTACTAAATCTCTGGAGAAATATGGTGTTGGCTCCTGTGGTCCTCGTGGATTCTACGGGACAATTGGTATGTCAAAACACTGACATATGTTCAATGCATTCATTGGACGTTGAACAATATGAGACTATGTAGAAAATATTTTTATTCATGCAGATGTACACCTTGATTGTGAGGCCAGGATCGCAAAGTTTCTTGGAACTCCTGATTCTATACTTTATTCCTATGGACTTTCGACAATGTTCAGTATCATTCCAGCATTTTGTAAGAAGGGCGATGTCGTAGTTGTGTGAGTCTTTCTTGGCTTTTCTACTTTTTAGTTAAATACTAAGGTGCAAACAAGATATTGTTGGAAATTTTGGTGAGAATTTGTGGAATTTGTGATCTGGATGGATTGAGTTTAGGTAATTCCTTTTCTCATACTATTTGGCATATATGTTATGTTTCTAATGTCATCTAGGTCTGTGACATGGTGGAACCCATCATCCTCGTGTCCTTCTCCCTTACTCTCTCAACCCTATCTTTTCCATTACCAGTTAAAAAGCACGTTGTCTACGGGTTCACCATTAACAAGTTATTACGCCCCACCTCCTTATCATAAAGGCTTCTGCTTGTCTGAGATTCCGTGCTTAGTCCCTGTTTCATGCTTCATCTTGTAAACAATTTCATGGTGCAATAATTATCCTTTTCTTGACTCCTTATTTTTTCTATTTGGTTTCACGGCATTTCATCTGGTATCAGCTTGATATCATCTACCTATGTTCTGTTTGCTGCCTGTTGTGTTGTAACAGATAACTAACCTTTTCATTGGCTTATGTATATGTGATTTTGTTTTTTTATGGAATGAATTACTTTAACTTGCACAACTGACCTCCTCCGTTTTGTCTTTCCTCTCTTTGGTTGGGGTGATGGTGACGGCTCTTTACAGTGATGAGGGTGTCCACTGGGGAATACAAAATGGCCTTTATCTCTCCAGGAGTACAATTATTTATTTCAAACACAATGACATGAAGTCTTTAGAAAGTATCCTGGAAAATGTTACCCACGCCAACAAACGAACTAAGAAGCTCAGGCGTTATATTGTTGTAGAAGCTGTTTATCAGGTACAGTTGTTTACACTAGTATTATTTTGCATCGTGCCTTTTATGTTTGCTGATTTTCCACTTATGTGTTGGCAATCCAAAGTAGAAGATAAAAAGGGCCAGTATCTATCAGTCACATATCTTCATGCCTGAAATATTGACACACTATACTGCACATTTTAGTGATGTGCTTGTTATTTATTTATTTATTTATTTATTTATTTTTTCAATTTCTGAGTAAATATGAGCTATGATTTATCTTGTTCAACTCCAGAATTCTGGCCAAATTGCTCCACTGGATGAGATCATCAAATTGAAAGAGAAATATCTTTTTCGTGTGATACTTGATGAAAGTAATTCAATTGGAGTTCTTGGGAGGTCTGGTAGAGGCCTAACTGAACATTTCAAAGTTCCAGTAAGTTCCTTTTAAGTTTCATCCTTGTCTGTGTACTCCTTGTATATATTTACCTTTTTAAATACACTTGTTTGTTGCAGATCGACAAGGTGGATATTGTGACTGCTGCAATGGGACACGCATTAGCCACTGAAGGAGGATTTTGCACTGGGAGTAATCGAGTGATCGATCACCAGGTATGCTTGTTTCCATGAAATCAATTTGGAATGAAATGAATGCAGATGATATAAATTTACTCTACTTTAAAAATATCAAATCTATACCTCTTGTTCAATGGGGAAAAAAAATCTTCATTCCTTAATCGTTTTGTCCTAGGAACCGGTCTCCGGGTAAAGCAGCACTTAATGTATCTAATCAGGATATTTGATAACATTTGCATAAGTTTTCATATATAGGGTACATACTCTATAAGTATGTCTTAGATAATGGAAAGCGGCTTATTGCACATGGCCTTGAAATTCCAGCTAGTATTATCTTCCGATAATGTTTCTCACACTCAGAAAAAAACTTGTGTATATTTCAAATATTGATGTAAAATTAGCTTAATGCATTATGTTGTAGCATGTAGTCAATATACTTGCTATTTCCGTTGGGTTTTCTGTTCATAAATTTATCCTTTTTCTTTACTTTTATTTCGGTTTTATTGGAGAAATGGGGAGTAGAATTTCGTTCAAGTTTATCTACGATAATGTCATTTTCATCAGAATTTGGTTCATATCTTGGGCAATCTTTTTAGTTATTCGATACGTATTCACCTAATTGTTATCTTCTTTAGTTTCTGTGTCAAGTAACTTTTTGGCGTTAGAATCACCCAATGATCATTTACTTTTGTGGTGTTATGGCTTGTAAAGTGCTTGTTACTACATGCTATTAAAGTTTCCAGGATTTGGATAGTGGAATATAATCGCAATATCAGTTTAGCAGCTATTAGGGTCTGCAAAGCAAGAACCGTAGTTGCTCATGCTATATCACAAAAAACAATTTCCAGATTTTTCTAATGCCAATAAAATACTCCTTTGACAGCGTCTCAGTAGTTCCGGTTATGTGTTCTCTGCTTCTTTGCCTCCTTATCTGGCAAGTGCTGCAATCACTGCTATTGACGTGTTGCAAGAAAATCCAAATCTCATCACAAAGTTGAAGGAGAATGTTACTGCTCTGCGTAAAGGTTTTTTCTTCTACTCTTTCCTTTCCATATAATAATTCCATAAAATTTTGTCGTTCTTCTTCTAAACTAATTGTGCAGGTTCTGAGAATTATTTCTTTAATATCTCTCACTAACATTGTGTGAAAATTCCAGGTTTATCTGATGTACAGGGCCTTGAGATAGTCAGTGATTCAGAATCACCAATGGTTTTCCTGAGACTCAAGAAGTCCACAGGATCCTTGAAGGGTGATCTTCGAGTGCTTCAAGATGTTGCAAATCATGTAAGTAGTCATAATTCTTGAGACTTACATACTTGTTTCCCTTCATTTATTTGTTTTTCCTTTTTTTTTTTTAATGTGATCCGTAGTTACAGAAACTATGCTGGAGGCTTTTTAACACGTTACAAATCAAAAGGCCACTTATTCTCAAGTTTGCATATATTCCTCAATTACCCCATGATTTTGTGTAATTTGGAAAATGGAACCCCATTTTAAAGATAAAGGGGATTTCTGTAATTAGGCCGAAATTCATGGGTCGAAATTGCAATTACCCGTTTTTCTGAGGTGATGTCATTGTGTTTCTGCAGTTACTGAAAGAACACTCGGTTTTTGTTGCAACTACCAAAAGGTCTACGGTGGACAAATGCAAGTTGCCTGTCGGGATCAGATTATGTGTGTCTGCTGCCCATACAGAAACCGATCTGCAGAAAGCATGCGATTCTTTGAAAAGAACCACTGCCCTTTTATTGACCGGTCAATAACTCAAGTCATTTGATGTTGATACATGACTTCAAAGCGACCTACGAGCATGTTTTTACTTCATGAATAGGCTAGAGAATAGTATGGGGCTTTCATTTGTGTTCTGGTCTGCTGTTGTGGAGCAAGTTTGGCTTAAATCATCCTGTATTTATTATTATTTTTTTTTTTTTTCAGAGTGGTTTTTGTATTTGTAGTTATTGTTTTGTACTAAAAAGAGATTATGGATCATGAGACAGGTCCTTGTTATGTAGTTCAACCTCGTATGGAAGAAAATAATATTTTATCCTGCTGGACGTATGGTTAGGTTGTTGTTTTACTTACCCACTTGTAGAAAATTTCATTCAACGGGTGACTTTACGAGTTATTCTACAGTTTCTACCATAGGTTCAGAAAAGATAGATGCCCCTCAAGCATCGAATATTTTTATGGAACGTTTCAATCTATTTGGATGGCCAATTGGCCAGTACTAGTTCCTTTAGCCTATGTTTTAACTCTTGGTTTGGGCTGATATATTTGTATTCAAGTACGCCTTAATATATCTTTATACTTGTGAAAAAGATGATCTTCCTTTAGCCTATGTTTGGTAAATTAGAGGATAAGCTAACTTGTAACTTTTAAGTAAATTTTGAATTTATAGTTGATAGCTTATGACTTGTGGTTGAATCGTTAGCTTATACGATAAAAGTGTTGGTAAAATTAACTGATAAACTAGAAGAAAAAAAAATTCAATGAGCTTATTTGAAGGTTATGTTTAGTAAACCTAGCTGATAAGTTAGGTTATAACTTTTAAGTAAATTTCGAGCTTATAGATGATAACTTATGACATATGGCTAAAAAGTTAGCTTATATGATTAGAGTGTTTAGTAAAATTAGCTGATAAGTTAGCTGAAATAAATATTTGATAAATCTAGTTGATAAGTTAGCTTATAATTTTTCAGTGAATTTCAAATTTATAGCTAATAGTTTATGGTTGAAAAATTAATTTATATAATAAAAGTGTTTGTTTAATTAAAAATTATCATAGAAGCTTATGAGATAAACTCGAACTTGGAAAAAAAAAACTCGATCCTACCAAATCTAGCTTATTGGAATAAGCTTATAAACTAATCAAATAAGTTACATAATTTATATAATAAGTTGTTAAAAGCGGCACTCGAGACCAAAATACACCGATCTCCCGCCACACCAACACTCCCTCCTTCGCTCACACAAACTCTCTCTCTCTCACACACCCACACACACATACACGAAAGGGAAGATGATGGCGGTGAAAAAAAATGACATCGAGCCCAGCAAAGAAATGGCGATGTTCTTGAAAAATCACCACTCGGAACAACTCAAGTGTATTGTCCTCTCCTCTGATCCTCGCCTTCATTACCCTCTCCATGTTGAGTAAGTTCGTTCTATCGTTTAAGCTCCCGTTGTGTTGAGTTCATCTCTGTGCAGTTTGGCTTCTGTTAATAACCTTATTAGTTCAGAGTATTTGATCCTTTTTCAAAAAAAATTTCAAGTACAGTTACGCCGAGCTAATGAATGAATATCCAGGATTAGCACACCTCGTTTTCTCGCAGCCGGCGGAATATTTACCCCTGTTAGACGAATCAGCTGTCCGGGTTCAGGTTTTTCTTTTCTCTTTTCAGTTTGGTTTCATCTCCAGTCAGGTTTGTATGCATTTATGGTTAGTTTTCAGTAGTTGGATTCATCAATTGTGAACAGGAATTCGGGGCTGAAATGCCTTTTGATTCTGTTTGCTTAAGAAATTTTGTTGTGAGATTGTTTCTCAAGTATGTGAAGTTCTTGTTATGATGCTTGAATTGAAATGCCCAGAATGTGCTATATGAGGATTTGAAGAGAATGGAATATGCTAGTGTGAAGGCCTATGTACATGTCCGGATTAATATTTGCGGTTCTCCTCTGGAATTTCCCGGTTTGTTATTTGTCTCTGAAGAGTATTTGGATTCTTACAATTCTTTGAAAATCTGCATCCACACATGTTAAAGTTCATGGGTTTGTTTATGTTTTGGGATTTCATAGAAACTTTTCCGAGTATTGGACGTGTGAGAGTGAGGCACCGCGGCATTCTTCTCACTCTCAAAGGCACAGTAATTCGTTCTGGAGCAGTCAAAATGATTGAAGGCGAGAAGGTTTATGAGTGTCGTGTATGTAAACACAGGTCTGATTTATATATGCTTGCTCTCTTTTTGAACCAATTTCTGAGCAAAGTAATAGTTCTAATTTGAAAGAAGCTATATGAAGAGGGACTTACATCAAAAATGTTTTTTTGAGATGTATATTGGTATACATGGGGACACCAATTGAAAATGATTTCTTTTAGTTGTAGAACTGTGCTCATTTTCCAATTACGGAATCCTTTGGGAAATTATATTATGGAACTTGATGCTTAAAAGCAACTAGTATTCTTACCTGTTGTGTTGATAATCATCTGCGTGCATTTTGGTCCATAGTATGTTTGAAGTTGCAGATAAGATCCTTCTTCCTTCTGCGACTTGCTGCATTTGTACTGTCCTCATCTTGTAAATATTAATTTGTAATGTTATTCGTGTGTAACTTCAACCACATTAAAATTTTCATGCGCAGAATAAAAGTTTATCCTGAGGTGGAAACCAGGAATGCCACACCCCGGCCATCATTTTGCCCTTCTCAGGTCTACCCTCTTTTACCTTGTATCTGGAGAAAACACTTCTTCATAGAATGATTTATTGTACTTGATAAGAAATTGTGGCCCTCTAGCTGTTATTCTGGCTGAATAAACTTAGAAATAAAGATCCATGAAGATCCATAGTAAGGGTAAATTCCTATCTGATTTCTTGTTCGAGCTCTCCACCATTAGGATCAATCTTACAACTCATTTTAGTAAAAAGAGCTTTACTATTGCAATATTATATTAAAATAATGGCGTATGTAATATCCTAATGACAAAACATCACAGCCTTTAAACTACCTTTTTAGACTGAGTGTTAGATTCATACTTGGATATGTGCAATGGAATTTGAACTGGGTTGCCCTAGCTTGAGAGCATGCTCGTAGGTCTTTTGTAATCCTATGGAATTTTCCAAAAAGTTCGCATTTGAGGCCTCTTAATTCTTTGCAATGTCATACGTGCTTGATTTTTTCCTGTGTAGAATTGTGAAAGCACGCGTTTCCAGATTGTGGAAGACAACAAGATATGCCATGATTACCAGGAAATCAAAATTCAAGAAAATACTCAGGTTTTAGGAGTGGGAGCTATCCCTCGTTCAATTCCTGTTATTCTGAAGGATGATCTTGTCGATACGGTTAAAGCTGGAGGTACAGATTGCATCCGAGTTTCTCATAGTACACAAGCCACATTACTAACTCAATAATACTTCGCGTGTTGCTTAAAATACGAATATATAATCCACCTTTATTATAGACTATAAGGAATAATCAATTTTGGAATCTGAGCTTGTGTACTTCATTTCCTTACTTTGACTTTCAGATGACATAATTGTTACCGGAGTTCTGACGGCTAAATGGTCTTCAGACATAAAGGATGTGCGTTGTGACCTTGAACCTGTACTAGTAGCCAACTCCGTGAGGTTACCGATTAAGTTCATCTCACTTACCTCATAATTTGACCTATCTTATTATTATTGTATTTTTTTTTTCTGCCATTTGTATAGTCTGACATATTTCCTCTATTCAGAAAATCAGTATAAAACTTTTCCAAAAATTAAATTGGTAACTTGATCATTATGGTGTCACATACTCCCCCATACGCTTCCTCTGCTCCTTCCCCCAAACCGCAGAGTGAGAGAGGGAGGGAGGGAAGTAGGGTTTTGTGGTACATTTTGATGGTTAGCTATCATTCCGAAGTACACGACTTGGGGGTCTTACCTTACCCAAGCAATACACATTTATTTGAAGGTATTTACACGTTATTTGAGAAATAATAAAAATAATAACTGACACGATACTTTAAATGTCATTTTTCAGGAGAATGAACGAGCTAAAGTCAGATATTGATATTCCTGAGGACATTGTTATGAAATTCAGACATTTCTGGATGGAATTTAAAGATGCTCCTTTGAAAGGTAGAAATGCCATTCTTCGATGTATCTGTCCACAGGTTTTTGGACTCTTCACTGTCAAGCTTGCAGGTAATGGAACTTTCATCATATTAATCAGTGATTGCCACGGTCTACATTAAACAATTTTGAACTGGAAAAATCAGCTACTTCAAGCATCAATAATTTGAAATGACGATCTACTAAGTGTCACTATGAATCCATTCCGAACTGAGATTTCTGTTTGGCATAGTTGCTCTTACACTAATTGGAGGCGTTCAACATGTTGATGCTTCTGGAACAAAGGTCCGAGGAGAGTCTCATTTGCTTTTGGTTGGAGATCCTGGTAAAATATTGAAGTTTATCTTATTCATTTGGATTATTGGATCACACTATCATGCCAATTTAAATGTTAGTCTTTGTTTGATCATTTCCATAATTTTCTTGTCATTTCAATGTCCTTTTAAGTTATGAAATCACATTTTCTGTACAGAATTTTTCTTGCATTATATATAAGGTAATTGCCAATATCTAACATATTTGAATCATCTAGGCACGGGAAAATCACAGTTCTTGAAGTTTGCTGCTAAACTAAGCAATAGGTCCGTAATAACTACTGGTTTAGGGAGCACTAGTGCTGGATTGACAGTCACTGCAGTCAAGGATGGAGGTACTGTGTTTATGTTTTATAGCATCTATTTATAGAGCTTCACTATATTGCATCACTGAAATATCACCTTATTCATATTAGTTTCCCATTAATCCTATATATGTTGACATATCTTGGTAAGACTATTTTCAGGGGAATGGGTGCTGGAAGCTGGAGCCCTGGTGTTGGCAGACGGTGGCCTTTGTTGTATAGATGAGTTTGACAGGTACAAAGTTACAGGCTTCATAATTAGTTTTCTCTTCAGGTCTTAATAAAGATTGCTGAATTAGCACAAATGCACCACGAACTCTCTTTCTGCACAATCTTCCCTTTGTCTTCTTTTCACTGTCGTTTTTTCTTTTGTTACAGTACTTTACACAGCAAAAACACCTTAGTTCTATTTGTCGAGATTCATGATATTGTTCTACCACACTTTCCTAATTGTGCTTTTAGCATGCAATCTATATTAGAGTTGCGAATGCCAATTCATTTCTTTTCTGTTGCTTTTATCCTTATAGCATGAGGGAACATGATAGAGCAACTATTCATGAAGCCATGGAGCAGCAAACCATAAGTGTAGCCAAGGTATATATAAAAAACAGTCTGCATGTTATTTTTGTTGCTTCTCTCTTTTATCTTTGCAAAGTGTTCTCTTAGTGTCTGGTTATTCAGCTCCCCATTCTAAGTTCTATATCATTGTGTGATGTCCATGTCCCACAGCCTAGAAATTTCAGTAACCTTGTCCTTCTAAAATCTTGTTATCTGATGACCAATATGTTATAGTGATTGTAGAACTGCATGAACACACCTTACAGTTACATTGAATGATTTCGTTTGTATGTTTCGCAGACTAGATAGAAACATTTTACTCTCTTTTATACAACTCATATAAAAGTAATTAGAGATGGTACATGGTGATTCTGGTTGTACGGCCATTTTCTTTTCTTTTCTTAAATTTTTTCAGGCTGGTCTTGTGACGACTCTCAGCACAAGAACAATTGTTTTTGGTGCTACAAATCCAAAAGGACAGTATGACCCAGATCAACGTATCCTTTTCTCCGTATAAAAACTTAATACTCTATGTATATGTTAGAGGATGAAAGATCGTCCTCTTTTTTGTACATAAGATAAGAAGGCCTTAAACTAATTTCTATCATTTGAGTTTAATTTTCTTCATTCTTTAACACGATTTAGCATTGTCCGTCAATACCACACTTTCCGGACCATTACTAAGCAGGTTCGACATTGTTCTTGTGCTTTTAGACACAAAGAATCCACAGTGGGATTCAGTTGTTTCATCGCACATTCTCTTTGAGGTAATAATTAGTGCCAACGGTATCTCCATTGGGTCATGAAGCAAGTAAGTTGAATATTCTGATTTTTTCTCTTGTTTTTTTTTTTTTTTTTTTTTTTTTT